CTGTCCTTTATTCATTTCTGCATTTAGTGCTTAGTAAAGAGCAGACAGGCAGTCAGCCAGTGTATGTGGAGGAGAACTGAATGTGGGTGTCCTTGCTCATAGCAGTCATTTAACCTCTATATGAAACAAACACATTCAATGAGCACCTACCCAGGTACCCAGAATCAGTGCATCAGGGATGGGGCCAAAAAGGTGAACGGAAGGGACCCTGTCCATACCTTTACAGAGCTCCAGGTCTGGTGGCAGCTTGACATTATGTATGCCGATCTTATAAGATGGTGTTGTGGTGCCTTATCATTGACCAGAATTCTATGACTTATGTGTGATCCCGACTATTAAGTCATTGGCACTTCCACAGAAACTCCTTCAATGCCAAGGTGTTTGCAAGCACAAATTCTTACTCCTGGTTACAGGTGTCAGTATTTGGGAAGATAAAAGGACCCATGGAAAGAACTATTGAAAATGAGTCATCCCCATTGTTTTCATACTTATTGCCTCTGCTGTTGTGTCCAGAACTAATTCGACACTTCTCTTTGAATAGGAATTTGGTATGGAATTCTTGAAGGCATTGGAATTCTCTCTGTTATTACAAATGCATTTGTCATAGCGATAACATCTGACTTTATCCCTCGCTTGGTGTATGCTTATAAATATGGACCTTGTGCAGGCCAAGGAGAAGCTGGGCAAAAGTAAGTTTGCCATAAAACTATTATGAACCTCCGTTTTCTAGCTATTATATGATGTTGGACACTCAGACAGAAGAAGCCTGTGCACTGGGGTATATGGGACATGAGCCCAGGACGAGAAGGCCTGTGATGGGGGAGATAGAATTATGATATAATAATACTTTCAGCCAAAGAAAACACATCCTGATCTGCTGAAGGGTTGGGGGTCATACAAGTCAGACAGGTTTTAAATGGAATCCAGTGTGAGAGCAGCAATTGATCATTTTCCCCATCCCCTGACCTCTACCCACTATGAATTTAGAAATATGTGGTATGTTAATGCGTGTAGCAAAAAAAAGGGGTATATGATGTAGTATATAGTTATGTCATTTTTGTGAGTTTGTAAAAGGACAGTTATGGGGCCGGCCCGGTGGCGCACTGCTACAGTGCACCGCTTGGGAGCACGGCGGCGCTCCCG